AATAAATCTGCAAAAATGTCAACGATTCTGTGTTTTTCTGTCAATATGGGGTGCTGTGTGTACATTAATGAGGAAAAAAAATTAACTTAAATGATTTTAGCAAATGGCTGCAATATAACAAAGAGTGAAAAATTGAAGGGGGTCTGAATACTTTCCGTACCCACTGTATATATATATATATATACATATATAGTATCTAGAGAATATCTGTGGAAATGGAAAGCGTCACACTGGAGGACGAGAGCGATGTTCCTGCGGTTAGTAAAGCGCTGGTAATGTGGTAAAGTCAGATCAGGTGACCGGCTGTGGTCTTCGTTCCCCGTGGAGAGCAGATAATCGCTCTGCTGTGACCTTTACACGCGACCCAGAGTTCAGCTCCTCGTTAGCGTGCCTTTGTGTCTCATTCACAGTCTCTGCTCGTCAGATCACCAGCTTTTCTACTGACTTCCTCTATAAAGTGCTGATCTGATCGCTCACTTCTCTGTTTCAGTTATTAACAAGTCATTATTAACCCTATAAAGCTACTGTATCATTTTTGCCTCAAATTCTAAAAGCCTTTATTTCTTCATCTCTCAATCACTGCATTATATGTTTGGATCATTCTCATCTTACTGAGATTACTGGAGATATAGAGCGACCACTGATATTTAGATCATTTTATGTCAGTATCTGTTATAAAGATCTCATTGAGTTACATTACAAGCTGATTCTTCTTTTTTTTTCTATTTCAGACCACAGCTGTAGCTTAAATATACTTAAAAATTGTGAAATATTATTATAATGTAAAACAGCTGTTTTCTATGTGAATATCTGTTAAACTGTAATTTATTTCTGTAAAGTTTAGAACAGAACAGCATTTATTTGAAATAGAAATCTTCTGTAACATTGTAAATGCCTTCACTTTTCTTCAGTTTAATGCGTCTTTGATGAATAGAAGCATTCATTTCTCATCAAACGTCTGTGGAGCAGGAGTTGAGTGCAGGTTTCAGCTTGTGAATGACTTGCACTAATGGACAGCGATTGGTCCAGATGAATGTAATTGGCGAGCGCTGACCGATGACACGAGACTCACTCAACATGTTCCTGTAACGAGCTTCTGAGCAGACGAGGATGAAGTGCTGGAAGAGATCGGCCCGTTTGACGACGCAGGTTAATTAGCTGAGATCCGAGCGACTCTGAACTCTCCTGCCGGCGACTAATTGAATTCCTTGATCACTGCGGCGTTGAGCGTGAGCTCTGATCTCAGAGGAGCTCAACAACATCGGCAGAACTCATCAGACTGTGCGACGCACTGAAACGACTTTACTCTCAGCAAGAGAGATGCCTTACAGTTAGTTTTTATTCAAATGGAGCAGATTTGTTTGGCAAAGTTTCCACCATGGAACAAAAAATAAAAAGGAAGTTGTAACTTTTTATCTTCACAATTTGGACTTTTTTCTGAGTTTATATCACAATTTGAACCTTTTTCTAGGGATCCTGAGTTTATATCTTGCCATTTTTACTTTTTTCCCTCAATTCTGAATTTATATCTCACAATATATATATTTTTTTTTTCTGGTAATTCTGAGTTTATATGTCATAATTTTGACTTTTTTTTATTTTCTTTTTTTTAGAATTGTTACTTTATATCATAATTTTGACTTTTTTTTAAGATTCTTAGTTTATGTCTTGCAATTTTTACTTTTTTCCTCAATTCTGAAATTATATCTTACAATGTTGTTTTGTTTCTGGTAATTCTGAGTTTATATCTCACAATTCTGCCTCTTTTTTTTAGCATTTTGGCTTTATATCACAATTTTTACTTTTTTGTTATATCTTGCTATTTTTACTTTTTTCCTCAATTCTGAATTTATATCTAATAATATTGTTTTTTTTTCTGTCTTTCTGGTAATTCTAAGTTTATATCTCATAATATTTACTTTTTACCACAATTCTGAGTTTATATCTCTCAATTCTGCCTTTTTATTTTTTTGAATTTTAACTGTATATCACAATTTTTACCTTCTTAAGATTCTTAGTTTATATCTTGCAATTTTTATTTTTCCTCAATTCTGAAATTATATCTCACAATTCTGCCTCTTTTTTTTACATTTTGACTTTATATCACAATTTTTACTTTTTTGTTATATCTTGCCATTTTTACCTTTTTCCTCAATTCTGAATTTATCTCACAATATTGGTTTTTTTTTCTGGTAATTCTGAGTTTATATCTTGTAATTTTGAGTTTTTACTGCAATTCTAAATGTATATATTACAATTCTGATGTTTTTTTTTCTTGGAATTTTCTTGAGTTTACATCTTGCAACTCTGCAACTTTTTCCTCACAATTGCATTACATTTACATTACATTTAGTCATTTAAGTTTACATATCAACATTCTGACATTTCTTTTCACAATTGTAAGTTTATATCTCATAATTCTGAGCTCATATCTTACAGTTCTGAAAAGAATGTCAGAATTGTGATTTAAAACGTTACAATTACCGTTTTTAATGTTTTTTATTCCATGGTTGAAACAAACATCCATAGATTTGAGATATATTTCATCGCTCTTGTCTGTGAGTTTCAGCTCTGTTTGTTTTATCACTGTTTTATTGATATTTGTTCAGTTTGCAGCCTGAGATTTTCAGCAGTAAGATCCAGAGAAACCAGCTTACTGTAGTCAGTCAATGAGTTTAAGCACACGTCACATCGTGATGCTCAATTATTCTTACTTTTCTTTTGCAAGTGAAACGAAACTTCATAAAGAGAGTTTAAATGGTTGTGGAGTTCAGTAGATCTGCTGGGAAATTCAATGCAAGGGTGTTCATGCTTTTATGGACGGCGTTTGGATAATAAAGCTCATTACCTTCAGTTGAACAGCTGAGCCACATTAGTGTGTGATATTTGAAGAGAAACTTCACAGATTAAAAAAATAAATGAGACTAAGTGAGCGCAAATGATTTTTCTGTGGTAAACAAATGCTGATGATTGAGCTTACCTATGGGGAAATATATATATTTTCAAATTTTTTGCCAACGGTAGCTTCAAAAAATATTTTCTAAATATGTTTTCTACCAATATATTTTTGCCCCTTTTTTTGCATATATTTGAAAATATTAAAAAAATGTAAATATATTTTTAAAAGCATTTAAAAATTTGTTTTGCCCTCTGAATATTTTCAATCCAAGAAAATGCATGTTGCATTTGAAAAAAAACTTTGCTGTCTATATCCAAATAACACATTTGAAAAAAAACTTTGCTGTCTATATCCAAATAACACATTTGAAAAAAAATTCAAATAATTCAACATAATTACATCATTAGTAGTTTTCATTCTGTCCACATTTGCATTTCGCCTAAATGTAGGCTATACTGTAAGATTGGAAATGTATTTTTTTGCTGTGAAATACATTTTGAAATGTATTTTGGTGGAACTAAATCTATTTAAAATTTCAAAAATATATTTCATTTAACTTCATCGTTTACAACGTATATTTAACGTATTTAAAATATGTTTTGGTATATATTTCATTGATATTGAACCCAGAACATTCCTTTAAAATGCTTCCACACGCCTGAGACTCTCTATTGTGCAACATGCATAATAAACCGCTTCAGGATTGCCTGTGTTTGGGTTCGCATGATGTTATTATCCACATAGAAATGAAAAGAAGTCCCTGAAGTTCCGGCCGTCGAACAATCATTGTCCATCTCCGCTCGGGAAATGAGCTTTAAATTGTGAGGAAAAGGAAGGCCGTTTTTTGACAGCCGACGTGCAAATATGAGGCGATAGAATCTCAATGAGGCTTGAAAAAGGGAATGCATAAATAGATTAGAGTGAATGTGGCCACGGCGCACGAAAGCAAATCTAATTATGAAAGCGCTGTATCTCCTGATTTAGAAAAGCGAGCCGGGCTTCAGCCGACAGATCCAGGCACGAGACGGCCATCTCTGGCACATGTGTGATTTATGATGAACTACAGTCTCAGATTTACATGGAAATAGGATGACCTTCTGATGGAGTTTTACAGGAATACTTTAGGTAATACTATTCGGTTTTCATTAAACTCAAGGATCTGTTTGACTTCAGAGAGGTTTAAATTAATAGTTCACCCAAAAGGGAACGTTAACTGAAAATGTGTTCACTCTCAGTTCATCCGAGATTAGGATGAGTTTGTTTCTTCATCAGGTTTGTAGAAATGCAGCATTGCATCAGTGTCTCAGCAATGGATGCTCTGCAGTGAATGGGTGCCGTCAGAATGAGAGTCCAAACAGCTGATAAAAACATCACAATAATCCACAAGTAATCCACAGCACTCCAGTCCATCAGTTAACATCTGGAGAAGACAAAAGCTGAAACAAATCCAGCATTAAGACGCTTTTAACTAAAATATGAGTCCATAATCCCAGTTAACAAAAATATGTTCTGAGAGCGTTTTGTTAACATTCCAATTAAGTTATGAAAACGATATTTCTGAACATTGAAAACATGCAGTTTTTTAAATCTGATTTTTTAAAATCAGATGAATCTTGGTTAAGCAAATGTCAAGGAAACGTTCCATTGTATCATTTTTTCAAACATTATGTAAACGTTACTTTTCAATGTTCTCTGAACGTTCTGAAACAAGTGTAACATTTAAAAAACTTCAGAAAAACATTCAACTAAAACGCTTCAGAAAAAGATATTCTATTAACAATGTTTAAATAACGTTTTAGTGCTAATGTTTTCAGAACATAATTTTTTTTTTAAACAACTTTGAAGGAATGCTTCATTAACGTTACTAGAAGAAGGTTTGTTCATAACATTGAGAGAACATTCCCTGTTAGCTGGATAATAACCCATAATAACTCTTCCTCCAGTGAAAAAGTGTTCTGGTGTGAATCAGGAGAGAAATCTGCACAGATCAAGCAGCGTTTAAACAGCTCTAAACTAATATGTGGCTGGATTTTGATGTGAGAGACAACAGCAGATGCACTTTTTCACTGGAGGAAGAGTTATTATGGATCATAGACTCGCATTTCAGTTAAAAACGTCTTAATGCTGGATTTGTTTCAGCTTTTGTCTTCTCCAGATGTTAACTGATGGACTGGAGTGCTGTGGATTACTTGTGGATTATTGTGATTTTTTTATCAGCTGTTTGGACTCTCATTCTGACGGCACCCATTCACTTGCAGTGAGACACTGATGCAATGCTACATTTCTCCAAACCTGATGAAGAAACACACTCATCTACATTTTAAACCGTGTTCTTTCAAAGAAGTCTTTCCATATTTTTGTAGGAGGTCGATG